AGGGTCTGAGAGCTCTCACATTTCATCAAAAATATCTTAATTTGTGTTCCGAAGATGAACGAAGGTCTTACGGGTTTGGAATGACATGAAGGGTGAGTAATTAATGACAGAATTTTCATTTTTGGGTGAACTATCCCATTAAAAAAATTTCATTTGATTCACATTGTACAAATTTATACAAGGTCGCCAAATCATAAAATAGTAACATGTTCTTGTGAGAAACTGCATTATTAATATTTTTAAGGTGTGGTCAACATAAACGAATTTCACAGACAAAAAAGAATTTGGCACAGAATCCCATCTTCGTTTGTGAACGCAAGCCTGTAGTGTTCCTTTGGCCGTTTCACCAGGTGCAGTGTGAAATTTCAGCAATAAAAGTCAATTGTCTATTTTCAATAGTGCAGCGATGTTTGAAGCACAGTTTTCACAGTAGTGACTTTCAAAACAGGCAGGTTTCTGTTGGCAGTCATGCCAAATTCACTTGACCAACCCACTGCAAAATCTACACGTGGAAATCTTTCACCTTCGTGCAAAATTCCTAATAGCATGGATTCCTATCGAAATGACTGGATTTCGCTTGTGAAATTTCACAAAGGAATGGTAAATGTGACCACAGTTTCAGTGTTGGTTGGTCAAGAATGAAAATAAAACAAAAAAACGGCCAAAGATTTACTTGATACAGTTTGTCATTGATAGCAGTTTTAAGCTGCGACCACATTAGCGAAAGTTTGTGGGTAAAAAAGCTCTTATTGTTAATTATCAATAGTGTTGACAATCTCTTGAGGCACAGACTGCCATCTTCATTTGTGAATGTATAATTAGAGCATCTTTAAAATGTGTAGTGCTCATTTGGCAGTTTAACGTAAGGTGTGGTCACATTAGTGAAATTTCTGCAAAATTTCACAGGCAAAAAAAGGTCCATTGTCAATAGTCTAGCGATGTATGGAGCACAGAATTCACTTTCAAACCAAGCAGCTTTCTACTGGGGAACACAACAAATTCACGTGACCAATTTGAACCCGTTGTTAAATCTGCAAGTGAAAATCTTTTTTTCATTTACGTGAAATTCCTGATTGTGTGGATTCCTATTGAAACAACTAAATTTCACCTGCAAAATTTCACCAAGAAATGGTAAATGTGATCGCAACGTCAGCATTGGTTGATCAAAATAGTAAGTAAGGTTTTACTAAGATTTACTAAGTATAGTTTAATGTCATTAATAGATTAGTCTGCAACCAGAGTTTCAGTCGAATTTAGGTTAAGTCCTGAAACCAAATTAATTTAATTATGGTGTCAAAAGGACCTCAATACTTCTCAAAGTGGCGTAGATTTCAAAAGCATCAATAATTGAGCGATATATCTTAGTATGTAGCTGGCCTGTGCTGAATAGAGATGTTCTTGTGCTTCTGAATTTCGAAACTGATAAGGTAAGCAGGTGAGGTTACATATCTGTCCCTCATGACCTGTGCTTGGAGTCCCTGAGCTCTGTGAAGCTCATCCGAAGTGCTGTGGGAACCGTGTTGAGACCTGAGTGAGAGTTTAATTGGTGTGAGAGAGAGACTCGAAAGCTCTGAATAATAGATATCAAACCTGTGGAGACACTCAAAGAAAAACACAGATGTTCCTGAGCCACACGGTGGTTGTTTCAAGATATTACAAAATGCAAACAGGTCATTAAAAGAGAGAAGAAAGAATTTTTCCTCCCCAAATATACTTTGTGTTGGATGAATGGAGGCTGTTGCGAATTGGTTGGTGGTTTGTTCCATGTGTTGTAATGAGCTTCATAAACCCAGTATCTTTCCTGGGTATTAGCCTACATGCGTCTGAGTTTTGGGGGTTTTAGGGAAGTGTGAAAGAAAGCTTCTCCAGGCTTTCCCATTTATCCAAGGCTCAAGCTGCTAGCTGCTGGCACGTATGTTTTAAGATCAGACCTTAGTCTTAGTGACAAAGCTGCAAAAGTTTCTCTTTACGGGTCACATTGTGCTGCAAATGTTTCAGCTGAAATTGCCAGTATTTGTTTAAATACATGCAGTTTTAACATCTGCATAGTGATACATACATTATTAATTTATGTACAGCTTTTTTTTTTAAACATAAGCACTTTATGCATTTATGACTTAATAGACAAATGTTTATAGATTATTTAATTCCTCAAATTTATAGGCTGAGTTTATTTATAATAAATGAGACAAGTCAAATATTTTCTATTAAATAAAAACATTTAAGATTTTAACATTCAACTACCTAACATTCAGCATTTCATTTAACTTAAAAATATAATAAATAAATTACATGTTTAAAAAAAATACATATACAAATTATATAATACATGGTTTGAAAGTAATAATAATAATAATGCTAATAATAATAATAACGTTTTTTTTAAATATCAGAGCTGTACATACATTATACGTATCAGTGTCCATCTAAAAATAAGTGCATAAAAATGCAAAAATGTGCATTTTGTGTATGAATACTAATAAGATCAGATTTGATTGGGTAATACTGGGTGAAATATAAAAACATCTACGTACACAAAAAGCACAAGGCGTCTCAGGCGAAATTTTACACACTAACCTCTCACACTGATTCCCTCTCAATTTATTTCTTGATTTGTTCATTTATTTAAAAAAAAGATAAACAAAACATTTGTGTATCTGAAATCTCTGCATTAGCAGTCGTGACATTGGGCTAATTGGAATAAACAAACAAAAGCAAAACTAATACTTCATATTAGCAGCCAGAAGGCTGAGAAAAATATTCTGAATAAACATAATCTGATTTGACTATATGACATGTCAGCAAACATGCTGGAAATATTGACTGAATACCTGCAATATATGGTTTTATTATTATAAATGTATTCTTGTGAGGTTCACTTTTGTATAAGCAAGCAAGCAAATAAATCTATAAAGCAATAAATCAATCAATCACTGATGAAAATTGTAGCGTTCATTTGGCCATTTTACCGTGAAGGGGTTTCTTTAAGTTGCACTGAGAATGAAACACACTTATATGTTAGTCTATAGTTTAGCTAGTCAGCATCAGCAGAGATGTTAGTATTCTTCATACATATTTCCCTTTGCATTTTTAATACAGAACCTATTTTCACCCCTGCAGCTTCACAGAACATCTGACCTCACTGTTGAATGCCGTCAATCACGTCTTGTTGCCTGTACTCTTGAAAGCTTTAATGCAACAGTGCTGACCCCTCTCAATATTCAATAATAAAAGGATGAGTCTAGTCGTCCTCATGTTGTTTGAAATCTGAGTTTTATTTCTCTGTTGAACTCAAGCAGAATGTCAAAAGTCAAAATTATGAGAAGTACAACATGACAATATCACAAAAAATTACACAATGAAACTGCTCAATTAAACGACAGAACAGCATAATGAACTAAACCAAGCAAGGCAGAATGTCAAAAGTCAAAATTATGAGAAGTACAACATGACAATATTACAAAAAATTACACAATGAAACTGCTCAATTAAACGACAGAACAGCATAATGAACTAAACCAAGCAAGAACACAACAAAGCCCAATTAAACAAAAACAAACTAAGCAAAAAAACACAACGGCACAATGAAAATAAACAAAAACTAAATAAAATAACAGTACAACAGAACAGCATGAATGAAACAAAAAACTAAACAGTACAACAAAACACAGGACAGCACAATTATACAAAAAAACAAACTCAACTGAAAAAAAAAAACAGTACAACAAAACACAGCATAGCACAATTATACTAAAAACACTGAACAAAACACAAAATAGCACAATAATGCTAAACAAAAACAAACCCAACAACAGTACAACAAAACACAGAACAGCATGATGAAACTAAACAAAAACAACTGAAACTAAACAACAGCACAATAAAACAGGACAGCACAATGAAACTAAGCAAAAACAAACAAAACTAAACAACAGTATAAAACATAACAGCACAGCAGGATGAAACTAAACAAAAACAACTGAAACTAAACAACAGCACAGTAAAACAGGACAGCACAATGAAACTAAGCAAAAACAAACAAAACTAAACAACAGTATAAAACATAACAGCACAGCACGATGAAACTAAAATAATAAACTAAACAACTGTACAACAAAGCAGAATAGGACAGTGATACTACATACAACATAACTACAACAAAACAGCACAGCACAATGAAACAAACTAAACAGCAGAACAGTAGGCTACAGCAAAAACAAACTGAACAACAAAGCACAGCATTTCACAATGATACTAAACATAATCAAACTAAACAACAGTATAATAAATCAGCACAATGAAACTAAACATAAAACAGCACAGTGAAACTAAATGAAAGCAATAAAAGTATGGATAATAAAGTAATAGCATTACAAGAATAGCAGTTGTTGCATTACCTGGGTCACACATTGGCTAATATTTACCAGGAGTCAGATAGATAATAAGGCACCATTTTAGCAACTGTTATAGCTGATACAGCCTTAATCTTACAGACAATGAACAGCAGTTTAATGGTATTTAAGTTAATGTACAAAATATTACAGAAATAATAGCAAATAACATTACCCCTGGATATGTTAAAGGTGAACTTGACCTTGATGTCCTTGTCAAAAAGCATGTTCAAAAGCGTGTGTTGGTGAGGTTTCAGGCTTTGAAGTAAACTAGGTTGTGAATGCAGTTTGATGTTGACTTTAAATATCCACCAACTTACACAAGTATTTTATTTTGATGTCATTTTCTTTTCATTTTTTCCCCCACACTCATGCCCTCCCTTTCTCATTTTCGGTGTAGTAAGCATTTCAGTGCTACGAATTTGGAGGGGAATTCTAGCTGCAGAAGACCATCATAAATCACAGTTTGTCTAAGCCAGGCATATATGTATCCCTCAGAAACCTTTATGGTTCCTCTGTAAAACAGTTGTTTGCCCCTCGTACGATGGTTGCAATAACTCCTAACCTGTGTGACCATATATCTTCATGGGCTCTCATTAAAGTGCTTGCTCTTTCCAAAGCACTCGTCTCTATAGTGCCTCTCTCACAAATGTAATTGCTATAGCCTATAAGCTCTCCTCTTCTGGGTGCTGGCCCATATTTTTCTCTCACCCGTCACCCCCTTATGATTCGTCACGCATAACTGTACGGCTGATAATGAATATGCTTTCGAAAAAAATGTATGTTTGTGCATTGTAAAAAATGAGGTGATGATTGAAGACAAAGAATATTAAAGGTCCCATATTGTCAAAACTGAAATTTCCTGGCTTTTTTCACGATTACTGAGGTCTAGAGGCTATTTAACTACCATACAAGTTTCAAAACAAGTCAGTCCACAGTAAAATGCACACAGCCTGCTTAAAGTTCTAGCTATTTTTCACGAACCGTTGTGACTTCCGTAAAAAGTTGACGTCAGAACTACATAGTCACCGCCTTCAGTCACCACCCCGAGCACCGCCCACAGTCCCACTCTCCTTTTGCCAAACCCCCAGACAACATCGTGTCCATGCTTTTGCTGAGCAAGAACAACACGGAAACATGTCGAAAAGTTTAACCACTAAACCAGATCGGCCGACCTGTAACGTTACACTCTCACTCAAAGGATGGACGATCTGACAGGATTGTTACTATGAGGTGATCACATCTAACGTGTATAGTAAAGACAAACTCGCCGTGTCTATCTAGTCATGATGAAGATGTATAAACATTGCAATTTCAGCAGGCAACTATTTTTACAGCTACATTATTGTTCCAGCCACAATTAATCACAACAATGTATATACAATTACAAATGATTATATATATAAATCGTCAGTTTGTTGTTTTACACACATGCACACAGACATTATTTCATACACGACATAGTCGTGAGATGCAAGAAACAGACATATGGCAAGAAATCTGTAGACGCGCCCATAACAACAAACGACAAGACTTTATTGAACCTTTTCTGATAAGAAGTGTGCACTGCAAATGTAGCATTTTTGACGATCGTTTCTGTCCAGTCTGCCCGTTTTATCGCGTTTAACCACAGCTGTCGTCGTTTTTTTTGTCTGTGGCAGTGGCAGCAGATATGCGATCAAATTTCTAATTTGAGGCTGTATATAATAATAAAATGTATATCTTGACTGAACTTAAAATGCCAAGTCTTCATGACTTTAAAATATGGCATTATTTTAACAATTGCCTGTTTAGACAAAGCAATAATAACTACTTCTTTTTTTTTCAAATAGCCAAAAATCATGTTTTCTATGAGAACTCATCATTAGACATCTGAACAAGTAGCACAGAGTTTGCAGATTCAATCCCAGATACAAATATAGAACACATAAATTGAGTTATAACAGTTATGCATTGATTTTCATAAATACTAATGTGCATGTTACCAGCAATGTACTCGGCATGCTTATTTAATAAGACCTGTAATCAATGTCTCAAATATTTAATGACTATTTACGTCTCCACGGTAAGCTCTCAACCAAATTATAATGAACAAACGCAAATGGCCTAAGGATTAAAACAACTCCTTTGAAATTTCCAAAACAAATTTATTCATATAGCATATTGTCGAATGCTGTCTAATGGTACATTAGCTCAAAAAATGCCTAATAAAATTTCATGCCTGTTACTGGTCTGATAGCCAGAGAAAAGTCAATTTGCACACCTATTTAATGCTTATTAACAGGTCCCATAATTAACACTGATATTTCATATGCATATTACATGCTAAGATTATTAATTAAAATAGTAATTCTATATCTATCTATCTATCTATAAAATATTCTAAATCTTATTTATTTAAAATATGAGATAAATGATAAATGAGTATTGCCATAAAAGTGCTCTTTGAGAAGCTGTGTGTGTAAGGTAATAACCTGCAGGTAAGGTGATCCACTTTGACAAATGAATATACAGTAGGAGTGTTAACTTATCAAAGTCTCAGACTTTATCAGCACCAAATTACGTTTTCAGCCAGGCGAAATGACTAGCTTATTAAAACCCGTTCGAAGTAATTGCATTTAAATAAATAAACGAAGGGAACAGAGAGTCGCTGTTACCGTGTAATTGGAGACATCCCCTCTGGTCACCAGAGCAGTGAAACTCTGATGCCGTGAAAGTGGAAAAGTCAGACATGGAATGGAGAGTTTGCGATTAGAGGCTTCTGACAAATTGCAATCGTCAATTGATTGCACTCCTAAATGGTGCTCTTGTAGATTTGCCAACAATAAAAGGGTTCCGAGTTTGCGCTTACACTTGTGTTCGGTTTGTGTGTGAGAGCTAATTTTCCCTGTGGTGAGTGTGTTGGAACGTCTTATATTAATATTAATATTAATATTAATATTAAACACACTACCCTATGTCCTGTTCACAAAACTGTACAATTAGACATTACGGCTGGTCAGAATGCAATACTAGCTTACTGCTTGTACTATAAACTTCATGATTTTTTTTAACTGTTATTACTTAAACTGTTATTTTTGCATGTTTAATTCAATTGTGAATAAAATATCATAATATTTGCATTTGGCAGTGTGATTAAACAATGAGCTAAAAAATGTTCAAAATCACAGATGCGATTACTCAGTTCATTTCCTGCACTGGAAATGGAAGGCTGGATCCAAAATTGCATATTTCTCAGCTGAAGGCCAAGTCAAGAGCATTGCATTGTGGGATACAGTATTCCATGCAGTATTAGGCTATTCCAGCAACACTATTAACTTAATTTTAAGCTTATCTTTCCAGCAACAAGCACATTTTTGTGATAGTTAGCATTGTAACAACCAAATGCTAAATCACTTTTGATCTGTAGCATGTAGTGTTGCTAACTACTTTTCCAAATGAGTAGCTTATTGTTGAACAACTTAGCATGCTAATGTTTTTAAAGTAGCTTCCTCAACACTGGTTTCATTCACATTAAATGCACAATGTACTTCAGAAATAGCAAACGTAGCATGTTAGCATGCTATTCTGAACAGAGCCTAATGGTGTGTTCGAAATGCCATACTATCATACTACTCTTACTATTTCTGCAGTATCCAGTATGTATACTGTGCATAGTATGCACATTTTCTGTATGCATGGAATACCCGGATGACCTATTATATTTGCCAGAATCTGCTAAATATAACTGAAGTACTCTGAAATCAGCACAGAAGCTGTGTTTGGAATGGCATACTACCATACAACTCCTACTATATTGCAGCATGCAATGTGTAAACTGTGAATAGTATGTGAATTTTCTGTATGCATGGAATTCCTGGATTACCTGCTACATTTGCTGAAATTTGATGTATGCATCTGAAGACACTGCACGGGATACTGTTTCCCACAATGCAATACGCTCCATGTGATGTTTTGGTTACACTTTATTTCGATAGTCCACTTTAGACATTCTATTAACTATAAGTAACTTTGTAACTACATGTCAACTACATGTCAACTAATTATCATTAATTTGCAACTACATGTCTACTAACTCTCAGAGTAGACTGTTAGGGTAGGTTTAGGGTTAGTAGAATAAGTTGACAAAGAAAGTGTTAGAAGATATTAAGCAGACAGTATACTAATACTCTACTAACTGCTAGTTGACATGTAGTTGCAAAGTTACTTACTGTTAATAGAATGTCTAAAGTGGACTATCGAAAAAGTGTTACCGATGTTTTATCTTCAAATGCGTGAGTGAACTGGAGGCGGGGGATAGTAATTATGAATGTAACACTTTTATATATACTTATATACATGTTACTGTAAACTACAAACTATTGCTCTGTATCTAAAAACAATATCGTTAGTAGGACATAAATTGCACCTTAATGTCTATGGCACGTTTCTGATCAAGTCAAATGATGTCCACTTTATCTCTATAGCGCTTTATACAGTACAGATTGTTTCAAAGATATTAAATAAAAATAATATTGCAGTAATATAACATATAAATAACATATAATATATAAATAAAAATAATATTGAAATTATGCAAGCAGAATTCAATTCAGCTGTAAAGCAGTTCTAAAAAGAACAAAGTGTCTATTTACTCTAAGTGTAAGTAGGCCAATTTGTCGGCATAAGCTGCAGTAACTCCGCCCACCAATGCCTGGCTGCGATAAACAGCACTGGAAAAGACGCCTGTTTGTTTGCAGTATCAGTGGCGTAGTGAGTATAACACGAAGTGATTGACGCGAGCGACCATTGTTCTAATCCGCCTTTTGCCAAACTCGTTCTTCGCCTTTTCCCATCTCATATCAGAAAGGCATTTATTTTTAATAAAAATAAAGGAAATATTTGAAAAGTGGAAATAAAATGACTCATTAATAATAGAGTGTTATTGGGTGGTTAGCGATAGGTGTAGGAAGGTTTTTATTGTCCCAATAAGGCGGAATCCATTTAATAATATTAATAAATATGATAATTTACACTCAATGTGTTATTACATACTGTTTTATAATTTACTACAGTACTTAAGTATAAATATCTGCCACCGAACTACTATTTAGCCTACACTTAGCCTATTGTTAAATAAAATACTGTTATTTTAGTGTAAACAAAATGTATAATTATTTGCACTTAGTGTAACTAGAATATATCACTTTTTCCACTTAATGTAACTGTCAAAAATAAAATATCATTAATCAGTTAAAGACAGCTCAGTGTTGATGCCATTTCGAACACAGCCCGAGTGATTTCTCAATGTTTCCATTCTCTCGTTTATCCTTATTCATCGTAGATTCGTCACTTCCTGTTTGTTGCTGCCGTGTGTTTTGAGTTTGAGCTCCGTCAAGTTAATTCTTTGTCGTATAATTTATCTTAAAATCAATTTTATACACCAT